ATCAGGATAAAAAAAAGAATAAAAAGGTCAAGCTGTTGTGATTTTTATTTTTCAAAAAAAAAAAAAAAAAGTTTCCAAATTACATTTCATTTCAGATTAGTGACTGGAACGTGAAGAAAACTGATAGAAGAAGAAAACTCAATTACGGTTCAGAAATTGTTTTTCCAACAAACATTTGGGGTAAAACCAAAAATTGCAAATCAAATGTTTGGAGATGCGTGTTTTTCATTAGATAGGGATGTTACATTACCTTCCCCCAAAATTTTTTATCGTAAATTACATAAAAATTAAGCAAAAACTCAAGCTGAATTTTTTTGGCATGTTTCCTGATTTAATGCAACAAGGTGGACCAGCGCACGCTGAAGAATTATATTTTTACGCAAAAATGCCAAAAAAAAAAAGAGCTGTTATAAATGTTATCGACTCACATCTCCCATTCTCAGTGACTAAATCGTTCCCCCGGATGACCAAGACGCACCAAACATTGTGAATACTGAAAATGAGTCTGTAGTTCCAAGTTAAAAACTCTGTAAACAAATATGATTGCCATGAGAAAAACCCTTTCATCGCTTTGAAAGCTTTACGAAGGCAAGTCGCGACAAGGGCAAATGCAATTCTGGTCACAGTGGCAACCCGATCATCACATATGAACTGATCGGATAAAAAGTCTCATCGCTCCCTTGAACGTATCATTTTTAGGCCGACGGGTGCTCAAACAGACAACGTGTTGAAGTACGCGGAGAATGACGACGTCGACAGCCCGCTTGAGTGTGTTCGGTCTCATCCCAGGCACGGTTGCGTATTTCACAGCCAGACTAGTAAAAGACGGAAGTGGAAGGATTATTTGAAATCTTCTGTCAGCCAACGGTCGAGAGAATCTAGAGCTTGTTCCCACAAAGACGTCGTAATGGCGCAATTGTCACGCTTTGAATCGAAGTGAATGAAATGTGATTGAAGAGGCAATCACCTCCTTTATGTCGCTATTATTTGCGTGCTTTGACTCCAAATTGCTTTGTCGGCATTCCACGAACAGCAGATCAAAGAACACTGGTTTTGCTGAGCAATTATTTGGATGGTCTGGAAGAGGAACTTTTTCATTCATGTCGCAAACTTGAATTAAATAAAATGGTCAAACATGTGGGAAGGGCTGGGCAACATAATTATTCAATTCATAACAACCTTTGAGTAAATAATAGCTCATAATATGTAATAGTGAATTGGAATTTTGTGACTATACAGTTTTTCGGAAGCTTATGTTCCGACAAAGTAAGAAAAAAACCCCAATTTCGATTTGAGAAATTGTTTTGTCATTTACATTTGTGAACAAAAATATGTTTATCCGAGTAAAAAGAACATTTGGGGTCGGAATACGAATCGAAGAAACACCCCAAAAATTTGAATTGGGAATTAAAATTCCAAACTGGATTTATGGAAAAAAAAAAATTGAAACTTGAGGTTTTGAAGACATTTTTCATGGGAAATTTTTTTCCCCCCTCAATTACAATCAGAAGTTTTAATCTCAATTTCTGAAGAAATAAAAATGGAATATCACAAAATTACTTTTCCTATTTTCTTTTTCTCCAAAACTCAATTTCAAATATTCATTTTAAAGTCGTTTTTGAAAAAAGAAAAAAACAATTCAAATGACCCATTTGCTTGAAAGAAACTTTTTGTGAAAAACAAGCTTGGATTTTCTGCTAAAAAGTAAAGATAGCGACACGTGCTTTTCATTGGACAGTGACACATTTTGCTCCGAGATGAGAATTTAACAGGAAATTACACAAGAAGCTAAGCGACACATGACATGTGAGCTTCACCGGACCCAACATGCAATTCTGGGAACAAACAAAACTTCAGAGGAAGTCAGCGCTCACGATATGCGACAATAAACACTTGTCAGCCCATCTTAAATTGAACGTGGCCCTCGGAGGACATTTCTGAACGACTGCAAAGCTTCCCCATCCTTGCATGAGGGGAACACTTTAAGGGGGGTGTCAGTAATTCACTGGTGTGGATTAAAAACAAACAAACGAAAAAAAACTTAAAGCTTATCATAATCATCTAAGACCGACAATAAAAAAAGAATAAAAACAAACTTTACAAAGCGTCCGTCCCATCCTGACATGTCTCCGTTGTGGATACGCAGCGTCTTGTGAAACGAGGTGGGGGAGGGGCGTTCAGGGGCGGGGCTGTCTACATGATGCTGATGCTGCGGTTGAGCTCACACTGGGCGTTGTTGTTGATGTTGGGGTTGGCGTTGCGGTTGCTGATGTTGGACGGCGC